TGCACTATTTATCCAAACGCCTGTTCAAACAGCCAGGACATGGCTCTTAATGTAAAAATGGAAAAGCAGCTGGCCTGGAAGATCTACAGATGGAACAAATCAAGAACTTTGGCTCAAAAGCAAGGCGCTGGCTGCTGGAGCTGATGAACAACTGCACTGCATCCTGTCAGATCCCCAAAATCTGGAGGAAAGCAAGAGTCATCGCCATCTTGAAGCCAGGCAAAGACCGTAATGACCCAAAAAGCTACAGACCAATCTCCCTATTGTGCCACCTCTACAAAGTTCTGGAAAGACTTATTTTGCATAGAATTACAGAAAAAATAGACCCATGTCTGATCCCACAACAAGCTGGCTTCAGAAAAGGCAAAAGCTGCACATCGCAAGTGCTGACTCAGCACATAGAAGATGGCTTTGAAAGGCAGCAGATCACAGGAGCTGTCTTCATAGACTTGTCAGCAGCCTATGATACTGTGAACCACTGCCCTTCATAGGAAATCTGCTACAAAACAAGAGCTTTTTTGTTGAGTTCTAGAACCAGAGAAGCAGATGGCAAAAACAGAAGAATGGCCTGTCTCAGTGGAGCGTGCTTGCTCCATTATGTTTAATATTTACACAAATGACCAGCCACTGCCAAAATGGACAGAGAATTTCATCTATGCTGATGATCGTGCCATTACTGCTCAAGCAGGGAGCTTTGAGATGGTAGAACAGAAGCTCTCCGAAGCTCTAGGTGCTCTTACTGCCTATTACAGGGAAAACCAGCTGATCCCTAATCCATCTAAAATGCAAACGTATGCTTTTCATCTTAAGAACAGACAACCATCTCGAGCTCTGAGGATTATTACCTGGGAAGGAATCTCACTGGAGTATTGCAGCACAACAAAATATCAGGGAGTTACTCTGGACCGAGCTCTGACTTATAAGAAGCACTGCTTGAATATCAAGCAAAAAATGGATGCTATAAATAATATCATACAAAAGCTGACTGGCATAACCTGGGGGTCACAACCAGACACAGTGAAGACATCTTCGCTTGAGCTTGCTAACTCTGCTGCTGAATACGCATGCCCAGTGTTGAACACATCTCACCACACTAAAACAGTGGATGTGGCTCTTCATGAAACATGCCACACTATCACAGGATGTCTATGCCCAACACCGCTGGAGAAATTACACTGTTTAGCCAATAATAATAATAATAATAATAATAATAATAATAATAATAATAACAATAATACTTTATTTATATCCTGCTACCATCTCCCCAAGGGACTCGGTGTGGCTTACATGAGGCTGAGCCCGCAATACATTAATAATAAAAGCAATAACAAACAACAATACAAAACAGTTAAAATACATCTCATAAACAAAAAAAAGCAATAAACATTGACAATAGCACAACAAACGTTTAAAAACCTATGGCTGGGCCAAATGTAATAATTAAAATTTAAAAAATAATGCTGGGTATGAACAGATAAAATATAACTGGGATAGGGTTTTCAGAGAGGGATGGAGGCATGCAGGCAATCCTACGTCAGTAATAAAGTGCATATAGAGGACATATTGCCGAGAGTTTCCTTATTCTGGGAAGGCACACTGGAACAACCATGTTTTCAGGCTCCTCCTAAAGACTGCCAGAGTTGGGGCATGCCTGATGTTCTTGGGAAGTGAGTTCCAGAGTCGAGGGGCCACCACTGAGAAGGCCCTCTCCCTTGTCCCCACCAATCGCGCCTGCGATGAAGGTGGGAGCTTGAGCAGGGCCTCTCCAGATGATCGAAGAGGTCATGTGGGTTCGTATACAGAAATGCGGTCACGCAGGTAGGTGGGTCCCAAACCGTTCAGGGCTTTGTAGGTAAGAACCTGCACCTTGAATTGGGACCGGAAAATGAATGGCAGCCAGTGGAACTCCTTGAACAGGAGGGTTGACCGCTCCCTGTAAGGAGCACCGGTTAACAACCTGGCCGCCGCCCAACTGCACCACTTGACATCCACCAGGAAGTAGCAGCCTGTAATGAAAAGATCAAGGCAGTGACATCTCCGGCCCATCCTCTGTTTGGATACCAGCCAGCAAGACAAGGCCTTAAATCAATAAATAGCTTCCTAAGATACTTGCAGGAACACCTCCGCAAGTGAGAGTCGACTGCAGCCAGGAAATCAGAAAACATTTCTTTCTTGGGAGGACTCTCAGCAAGCAAGAGTCCAAAAGTGGCAGGTTACAACCCAGAACCTCAATCGGTGGCTGAGATTGGATGAGAAACTCCCTCCTGGGCACACAGAAGACTGGGCGACTTGGAAGACTTCCCCCTGGCACCACGAGATGCAGAGCTAACCTTAAGAAATGGGGCCACAAAGTGGAGTCCGCGACATGCGAGTGCAGAGAAGAGCAAACCACAGACCGCTTTCTACAATGCAGTCTGAGCCCTGCCAAATGCACAATGGAGGGATTTCTCACAGCGACACCAGAGGCACTCCAAGTGGCCAGCTTCAAAGGAAATTTAGCATATTACCAAGTTTTTAACTTTGTTTGTGTTTTTTCTATACATTATAACTATTCTCAATTTGCTTCTGCTGTGATAAATGAATAAATAAATAAATAGGGCTGGCAATGCTCTACTGTATTGCTGAAGGGCTTTGCTTTTGTAACCTTGGGAAGTGGAGCTTCGGCAAAATTCATGGCCAGATGTTGTCAAAGCTTCCGCGCTTAATGAATTGCTGGTGGATTAAAAAAAGGGGGTTCTTGAGCTTCTCGATTTCCAATCTCAAGCAAGGTCCGTTGCGGCCATCCATTCGGTGTGATTAAAATAGCCTGTGATTTCAGCTGTGAAAGCCTTCGACAAAACATTCAAATTGTTGTCAAGCTGCACTATATCGAAGGTGGAGTCTGTACTACTTGCTGCAGAACGGAGATGGTTAGAGGGTCTCCTCAATACAGTTTTCTACACTGTCATATAAAATCCAGATTATCTGCTTTGGATAGGATTATATGGCAGTATAGACTCATATAGTCCAGTTCAAAGCAGATGATGTGGATTATCTGGTTTGATAATCTGGATTATATGGGAGTATAGAAGCGGCCTTAAGGTTGCAAATTCATGATCCAATGAATCATCTGAGCATACTGAAATATTCTCCTGAGATGGAAGAACTTATAAACAACCTTTTCTTCACTGATGGGATTACGGACCATAATAAATGTTGTTGTTGTTGTAGTATATTGAAATAGGAAATAATCTACATTATATTATAGGATCATGGGAATTACAGTTTGGTGAGGCACCAACGCTCTTTGGTAGCAAAGGCTGAAGACACTGGAAAACTACAGTGCTATTATTGTTGTTGTTGTTGTTATTATTATTATTATTATTATTATTATTATTATTATTATTATTATTATTATTATTATTATTATTATTAGAAACACAACAAGATGAGTCCACAGCAGACACTCTGCTGGCTCTCTACCTCTGAGGATGCTTGCCTTAGATGCAGGTGAAATGTCAGGAGAGAATGCCTCTAGAACATGGCCATATAGCCCGAAAAAACCCACAACAACCCAGTGTATTGGATCACACGTCGGACACTTCCCAAGTGTCTAGGACTGTGTGATTATCGGCAAATAATGTGTGCAGATTCCAGTAAGGTGGCCTTTTGCAGCTGACAGATGGTAATCTTGTCAGCACCAATTGTATTTAAGTGCAGGCCAAGGTCTTTAGGCACTGCATCCAGTGTGCCGATCACCACTGGGACCACCTTGACTGGCTTGTGCCAGAGTCTTTGCAGTTCAATCTATAAATCCTCATATCGTGTCAGCTTTTCCAGTTGTTTCTCTTCAATCCTGCTGTCACCTGGGATTGCAGCATCGACGATCCATACTTTGTTTTTTAACACAATCATAAGGTCAGGAGTATTGTGCTCCAAAACTCTGTCTGAATTTGGAATTCCGAGAGTAGCTTGACATGTTCATTCTCTGTAACTTTTTCCGGCTTGTGATCCCACCAGTTCTTTGTCGCAGGCAGATGGTATTTGTGGCACAAGTTCCAATGAATCATCTGAGCAACGGTGTTATGCCTCTGCTTGTAGTCTGTCTGCGCCATCTTACAGCAGCTGAGGATGTGATCTATTGTTTCACCTGCTTCCTTGCAGTCTACATATGGGATCTGTTGTGGACTTTTCAATTCTGGCTTTGATGGCATTAGTTCTAATGGCTTGTTATTGGGCTCCCAGAATCAGGCTCTTCGTCTATTATTATTATTATTATTATTATTATTATTATTATTATTATTATTATTTCATAGCACTGAGTCATAGCAGTCAAAGTGAGGTCAAACAAACTGCATTATAACTGACCAGGAACCCCTGGTGACACAATGAGTTAAACCAGGGGTCCTCAAACTACGGCCCACGGGCCAGCCCCGGCCCCCCGAGGGCATTTATCTGGCCCGTGGGGTGTAGAGAAGGGTGAGAGCCGCTTTGCAGGAGAAGAGGGAGAGGCAGCAGGCAAAGCATCTTTGGGGCCACTTCGCCCGCCGCCTCCCCAAGTTTTTATTTTAAATGTGGCTTTTTTTTGCACTGCAAATAAGATATGTGCAGTGTGTATAGGAATTCATTCATTTTTTTTCCAAATTATAATCCGGCCCTCCAACAGTTTGAGGGACTGTGACCCGGCCCTCTGTTTAAAAAGTTTGAGGACCCCTGAGTTAAACCCTTGTGCTGGCAGAACTGAAGACCGACAGGTCGCAGGTTCAAATCTGGTGAGAGCGCGGATGAGCTCTCTCTGTCAGCTCCAGCTCCCCATGCAGGGACATGAGAGAACCCTCCCACAAGAATGGTAAAAACATCAAAAAACATCCAGGCATCCCCTGGGCAATGCCCTTACAGACTGCCAACTCTTTCACACCAGAAGCAACTTGCAGTTTCTCAAGTCGCTCCTGACACAAACAAGGTGGTTAGACAGAGACCTCAATACACTTTAGGTTGATAATTCAAATTGAAACAGGAAATCATTTCTCTATATATTGTATTTGGTCCCTTAGCCTCCATGGCTACCTATCTTCTGTAGCCTTGGTTTTTGGGATATCTCATACAACCACGGAAGATGATCATGAGCGTCGGAAAAGGAGTTCAAAGGTCCGCTTCTAATCCCGCTACTTACAAAAGGCAAAGGCCAACCATCCCTGAGATGTTTCCATCCAAGTCCGGCTTTCGTCTTGTGTTTTCGAATATGACTCTGATTCGCAAGGAGAACCGCTCTCGGTTGAGTTCTTGATGCACTTTGTGAAAAAAGAACATGGTGCCCAAACCTCTTCCGGATCGTAGCATCTAGTCGTATGGGATGCTCTCCTCTATCCATTTTAAATGGGCTGGGTTTCCCTGGTCAATGAGCAAACTGATCAATTCGGGGATTTCAAAAGGATGAGCAGACCTGAAAATAATAATAATAATAATAATAATAATAATAATAACAACAACAATTCAATATAACAATAATAATAGAGGCAAAGATTATTGTCACCGGTAGAAGGCACTTGTTATTCTCTCTTCTCTTACTTGAGACTCAAAGCGTCTCACAACTTTACAAACAAAGCCATTCAAAAGCTGCAACTCATAAAAATATCAAAAAGTCCCATTGCCTTGATTTACAGCCACTCAATGAAACGTACAACAACTCCCGTCTTTCCTGGGATGCTGCTGGCGGAGGGACTATGGGATACGTAGTCCAATCTCATCTGGAATCTCATCTGGAATCAGGAAAGATTCGCAGATTCGAATCCAGGGAGAGGCGGATGAGCTCCCTCTATCAGCACCAGCTCCTCATGCGGGGACATGAGAGAAGCCTCCCACAAGGATGATAAAAACATCAAATCATCCGGGCGTCCCCTGGGCAACGTCCTTGCAGACGGCCAATTCTCTCACACCAGAAGCAACTTGCAGTTTCTCAGGTCGCTCCTGACACAACAAAAAAATAAATAAATCTGGAAAGGTGTGTTAGAGAAAGCTGGAATGACTGTATATTAGGAGGATGGAGAGGAACTATGTTTCCTAGGAAACGCATCATCCCCAGGTAATTACGGAGCTGGGGACGATGGGAGATGTAGCCCAATCTTATCTGGAAAGGTGTATTAGAGACAACCAGAGTTATTAGGAGTTATATTAGTTATATTATATTAGAGTTGTATTATATTCGAGTTATATTATATTAGCGTTATATTAGAGTTATATTAGGAGGATGAAAGAAGAAACAGGAAAATAAAATAATAGAAGGTCAGCTGCTGTCCTCGCCTTTTTGCCTTGTCTTTTACTCATGTTGTATTTTGAAATGGTCATATGACTGGTCAAATAAATTATTATTATTATATTAGGAGGATGGAGAGGAACTATTTTTTCTATGGAACTCATAATCCCCAGGTCATCTATGGAGCTGGGGATGATGGGATATGTAGTCCAATCTGAGAAATATGGAGTGACTGTATATTATAAGGGTGGAGAAGAACTACGTTTCTTAGGAAACTCATCATCCCCAGGTGATTTATGGAGCTGAGAACGATGGGATATGTAGTCCACTTTTGTGTTAGAGAAAACCAGAGTGACTGTATATTAGGAGGATGGAGGGGAACTATTTTTCCTAGGAAACTCATCATCCCCAGGTAATCTATGGAGCTGGGAACGATGGAATACGTAGTCCAATCTTATATGGAAAACTGAAAAGCTGGAGTATGTATATTAGGGTGGAGAGGAACTATGTTTCCTAGGGAACTCATCATCCCCAGGTAATGTATGGAGCTGGGGACGATTGGATATGTAGTCCAATCTTATATGGGAAAGCGTGTTAGAGAAAACCAGAGTGATTGTATATTAGGAGGATTGAGAGGAACTATGTTTCCTAAGAAACTCATCACCCCAAGTAATCAATGAAGCTGGGGACAATGGGATATGTAGTCCAATTTTATCTGGAAGGCGTTTTAGAGGAAACCGGAGTGACTGGATATAAGGAGGATTGAGAGGAACTATGTTTCCTAGGAAACTCATCATCCCCAGGTAATCTACGAAGCTGAGGATGATGGGATATGTAGTCCAATCTTACCTGGAAAGGTGTGCTAGAGAAAATCGGAGTGACTATATTAGAGGGATAGAGGAACTATGTTTCCTGGGAAACTCATCGTCCCCAAGTAATCTACAGAGCTGGGGCGATGGGATATGTAGTCCAATCTTAGCTTTTATTTTAACTATTTTGATCAAAAGCATCGGGAGGAGCAATGACTGAAGAAGGGCCTCACCTGATATAGTCGGACAACTCCTTGATTTTGGATGTCCTTGTTCTGAGTAGCTGGCCATGGAAATAAACAAAAATATGCAGATTAAAGATGGCTGTAAGCAAGATATAAATGCGTTTGTTAGCCCTGAATCAAACTACTAGTCCCAATCAGTAGATGCTGCCTCTTTGTGTTAGTCCATTTCTTAAAGGAGAGGCAGGAAGAGAAACCAACAACATGGGAAAGAAAGGATCGAGCTTACCAGGAGTATTTCCGTCGACTCTTCAATCTCCCCTTTCCAAACATACCTACAGCAAAAGCCAAGAAGAAAGCTCTGTTCAACACAAAGAAGGGCAGAACGTCATCGCCAATTCAGTTGTTGGGATCAAATGGATTTGACTCACATGGTCGAAGCCCTCGGGAGGATGTCCACACTGGCAGCCAATTGTTTCTCCATGATGGCCCTAAAAGCGGGGGAGAAATCACATAGTGTTCATCATCCTCATCTGTCTCTTTGTGATTTGTATTTCTACGGTACGCTTGGCCTTGTGCTTATGGAGTTTAGTGGCACTTCATCAGCTTTATTCATCCAGGATGATGGGAACTGCAGTCCACCAGTATCCAGTGAATCTCAACAAATGATGGGTCTGGACCAAACTCGGCATACAGGTACAACATGACCAATTGAAAATACTGGCAGGATTTAGGAGAAATTGATCCAGAATGATGGGAGGTGTAGTCTACATACATCCAAAGAGCACTGAGAGTCCATCTAACAGTGGATCGGGAACAAACTTGGCCCAACAGACCAATGATAGTAATAATAATAATAATCATCATCATCATCATCATTTATATAACAATAACACTTTTGTTATACTTTGGTTTCCAAAGTAGAATAAAAATGGCAAACATTCAATGCCAAGAACAAATAAACAACAACTAAACAACAGTGAAGACCAACTGAAAATACTGGAGGCATTTGCAAGGAATTGACTCAGGATGATGGGAGGTGTAGTGTAGCTATATCCACAAAGCACTCTGAATAACAACAAATGATGGGTCTGGACCAAACTCGGCATACAGATCCAACATGACCAACTGAAAATACTGGCAGGGTTTAGGAGAAATTGATCCAGAATGTTGGGAGGTGTAGTCCACTTATATCCAAAGAGCACTGAGAATCCAACTAACAGTAGATCGGGAACAAACTTGGCATGTATGCTCAACAGACCAATGATGATAATAATAATATATGTTATTTATATAACAACAACAACAACAACACTTTATTTATACCCCACTTTCTCTCCGAAGAGACTCAGGGAGGTTTCCAAAGTATAACAAAAATGGCAAACATTCAATGCCAAGAACGAATAAACAACAGTCAAGACCAACTGAAAATACTGGAGACATTTGCAAGGAATTGACCCAGGATGATGAGAGGTGTAGTGAAGCTATATCCACAAAGCACTATGAATCCCATCGATGGGTCTGGACCAAACTTGTCGTACATACCAAACATGGCCAACTGAAAATACTGACGGGATTTGGGGGCATTGACCCTGAAAGATGGGAATTATAGTTCACTCACATATAGAGAGCACTGTGAAGCCTCATAAGGAAGGATCTTGGCAAAACCTGGCACACATATCCAACATGAGAAACTGAAAATATCGGTGGAGTTTAGGAGAAATTGACCCAGAATGATGGGAGTTGTGCATTCAGAGAGCACTAAGAGTTCTACCTATTATGGATCTGGACCAAATTTGGCACACATATCCATTGTAACCAAATTTAAATACTGTGTTTGTGAGGTTTGGGGAAAATTGACCCAGGATGATGGGAGCTGTAGTTCACCCACATCCGGAGAGCCATGTTTACTTCCAATGGAACCATTAATGGAACCTGTACATGCGGCCCGCTCATTGTTACTGTGTATTGAATGATTATATTTTAATTTTATATTGTTTGCTGTAGCTCTATGTTTTACGTAATTTATCATGTTTTGTTATGTTTTGACTTTATTTATTGTATTGTGTTGCTGGGCTTGGCCTCATGTAAGCCGTCCTGAGTTCCCATTGGGGAGATGGTGGCGGGGTATAAATAAAGATTATTATTATTATTAATAATAATAATAATAATATCAAAAACCAAACAATGACTACTTCTAATAAATATTGACAACATCTAACCCAGGCTTTATCTGATCACCTAAGCTGGTGACTGGATAAACCAAACGTGGAGAAAAATTTATTATTTATTTATTTATTTACTTTGCTTATATACCGCTGTATCTCAAGCCCGAAGGCGACTCACGGCGGTTCACAAACAGTAAAAACAGTAGAAACAGCAGTGGTTCCATACAACATATAACAATTGACTTAACACATTATCCATAAATTACCAATAAGCAGTTACAATACACAATTATTACAAAAAACAACCGTACCCAATCTTCTCATCATCCAAGCGTAGTCCAGGTTCGTCGTCCATTGTTCCATTCCTATGTTCCATTACCAGATGGCACTAAATTACTCAAACGCCTGCACAAACATCCAGGTCTTCACCTTTTTGCGGAATACCATTAGAGATGGTGCTAGTCTAATGTCCGTAGGAAGGGCGTTCCACAGCCGAGGAGCCACCACCGAGAAGGCCCTATCTCTCGTCCCCGCCAGCCGAGCTTGAGAAGCAGGCGGGATCGAGAGCAGGGTCTCCCCGGAAGATCTCAAAGTCCTGGTGGGTTCATAGGCCGAGATGCGGTCAGATAGGTAGCTTGGGCCGGAACCATAGCATTGAGCCGTAGCAGATAAAGTGGTGTCAAACTGCATTCATTCCACAATGCAGATGCACCGTTAGAAAGAGAGAAACACCTTCTCTGCAAACTTCAGGGGAAAATAGATGGCTCTCTCTTTATAGGCCAAAGGATTTCTTTGCATGCTGGGTTTATGGCTGCGGGGAAAGAACGCCATGTTCTTCGGCAAACATTTAAACTGCTCACAAAGCAGCGCAGTGTTTGCAACAAGACCGGTCATTCAGGCTCAGCCCTGGAAGTCATCCTGTTAAACTATGGACTTGGATAACATAATCTATCTTGGGTTCGGCGGGATTCCAGAGCTGGCTCACTCTTTTCCCCCCAACCTTTATAAGTCTCAATAAAGAAAGCTTTAAAAAAAAAAAAGGGGGGGGGGGGGAGAGAGAGAGAGATTCAGTTACTGGATGGCACAAATGCCATTGCTAACCCTTTTTGGAAGTTCTTTGGATTTGGTCCTGACGATAATAGACAAGATGAGAGAGAGATTAGATAGATAGAGATAGATAGATAGATAGATAGATAGATAGATAGATAGATAGATAAAGATAGAAGAAAGAGAGAGATGATAAATAATGGATGGATGAGAATATAAATGATATATAATATATATATATATATATATATAGAGAGAGAGAGAGAGAGAGAGAGAGAGAGAGAGAGAGAGAATAGAAAAGAGAGGAAGAGAGAGTAGATAGAGAAAGATGAGAAGGGAGGGAGAGAGAGATAGAGAATAGATAGATAGACAGATAGATAAAGAACAAGAGAGAGAAATGATAGATAACTGACAAGAGAAAAAGAGATGAGATAGATAGATAGATAGATAGACGAGAGAGGAAGAAAGAATAGAGACAAGATGAGAGAGAGAGGGGGAGAGATAGATAGATAAATAGTTAGATAGATAGACAGATAGATACAAGACAAGAGATAATGTTAGATAGATGACATGATGAGAAAGGGGATGATAGATAGATAGATAGATAGATAGATAGATAGATAGATAGATAGATAGATGATAGATAGATAGTTGATAGACAATAGATGAGAGAGGAAGAGAGAGATACAAGACAAGACAGAATGATAGATAACTGACATGATGAGAAAGAGATGATAGACAGATAGACAGATGATAGATAAGACAGTTGATAGACAATAGACGAGGGAGGAAGGGAGAGTAGATAGAGAGAAGATGAGAGAGAGGGAAAGAGAGAGAGAGGAGATATAAGACAAGAGAGAATGATAGATAACTGACATGATGAGAAAGAGATGATAGATAGATAGATGATAGATAGATAGATAGATAGATAGATAGATAGATAGATAGACAGACAGACAATAGACGAGAGAGGAAGAGAGAGTAGATAGAGAGATGAGAGAGAGGGGGAGAGAGACAGAGATAGATACAAGAAAATAGAGAATGATAGATAACTGACATGATGAGAAAGAGAGATGATAGATAGATAGATAGATAGATAGATAGATAGATAGATAGATAGATAGATGATAGACAGACAGACAATAGATGAGAGAGGGAGTGTAGATAGAGACAATATGAGCGAGTGGGCAGATATATTTTATTGATCATGTCAGAAGCAAATTGGAAATGCAGATATAATGTATAGAAAAACCAGAAGCAAAGTTAAAAACTTGGCATTATACTCAATTTCCTTTTACCAGAAGCTGCCCACTTCGAGTGCTTCTGGAGTTACTGTAAGAAGGTCCTTCATTGTGCATGTGGCAGAACTCAGGCTGCGTTGTAGTTGTTGGTCTGTGGTGTGAAGCAGAGAGTGTTTGAGGATCGGAACATCCGTAGGGAGACCAAGGTCCTTGTGTATAAAGCTATTGTCCTTCCAACCCTGCTATACTTCTGCAAAACATGGACTGTCTACAGATGTCACACTCAACTCCTGGAAAGATTCCATCGGCGTTGCCTCTGAAAAATCCTGCAAATCTCTTGGGAAGACAGGTAGACCAGTGTCAGTGTGCTGGAAGATGCAGATCAAGAATAGGGCTCCACAGTCACCTACGAACACACTGCCAGGACACCGAACTTGGAGGACCATAATCCTCGGACTACGAGGGATCACCTAAGTAAGTAAGTAAGCTGGAAGAAGCAAAGACGACTAGCATTGAAGCGATGCTCCTACGCCATCAACTCCACTGAACTGGCCTCATTGTCCCAATGCCCAAAGATCTCCTAAAGCAGTTACTATACTCCCAACTCAAGAACAGAAAACAGAATGCTGGTGGACAGGAAAAGAGATTGAAAGATGGGCTCAAAGCCAATCTTAAAAATTGTGGCATAGACACCGAGCCCTGGCCCTCGGGCGCTCTCACTGGAGGTCAGCTGTGACCAGCAGTGCTGCGGAATGCGAAGAGGCACAAATGGAGGGCGAAAGGGAGAAACATGCCAAGAGGAAGGTGTGTCAAGCCAACCCTGAACGGGACCGCCTTCCACCTGGAAACGATATCCTCACTGTGGAAGAACATGCGGATCAAGAATAAGGCTCCACAGCCACCTACATATCCATTGCCAAGACATTACACTTGGAAGGCCATCACACTTAGACAACAAGGAATTGCTAAAGCAAGCAAGTATTAATATTAATAATAATAATGTATTATAAAACAATAACTATTATTTTAAAGCTGAAATATAATAATAATAATAATAATAATAATAATAATAATAATAGTTAATATTATTATTTTAATGGTGATGTCTATCTGTTTAAAACCATGCTGTACCCTGCCTTTAGCCATAGGGAGAGGTGGATATACTTATCATTACAAGTATTATTATTGTATTATAATAAAATTACAATCAATGTATAGCTAAAATACTATAATAATAATATATATAAATAAAAATGTAATGTTCATTTGTAGGATTAACATAACACAAAAACCACAGGACGAATTGACACCAAATTTGGACACAATCCATCTGTCAGGCCAATGAATGACCATCACTCATAAAAACTGAAAAACACAACAGAAGGGACTTAAAAAGTCAAAAAACAATAATTACATTACAACACATGTGAAAAACCACAAATATATACGCAAACACACATATATACACATATATACAAATATATACACACACATTTGCACACATATACACAAAGAAAACACATATACACAGACTGGGCCACAGCAACGAATGGCAGGGGACTGCTAGTAGTAGTAGTAGTAGTAGTAGTAGTAGTAGTAATAATAATACTATGAAAATTCAAGGATTTTAATGTTGTTTGCCTTGTGCTTGAGACCGCTCCACCCCAGTGTTTAGCTTCCACCGCAGAGCAGCCAGGTGTCCAATTTCTCCCCAGGCGATAGGTAAATATATCAGCTTTCTGTTTGCACAACCCACAATGGAGGCTGGATCTTCACAGCCTTACTATATTCCAGGATCTGATCCTGGGTTATCTTCTTCTCCCAAATTATGTGGCAGTGTAGACTCCTATAATCCAGTTCAAAGCAGATAATCTGGGATCAGATATAGGGCAGTGTAGATCCGACCGGAGATGTACCTCTAAAGCGGATCTCGGTGTTTATTTTCCAGCCCTCCTTTGACCTCTAGATAAAGGGTGCAATGTCCACTCTCTGTGCAAAATGTGCTGCAGGATGTCCTCTCCATGTTTTTTATGATAGAACCAATGAAGAAATCACACACACACATATAAAACAGTTATTTTGTTGTTTATATTTTATGTTGCTGTAATGTATTGCCGCTCTGAGTCATCTTTGAGGAGATGGTGGCGGAGTATTATTATTATTATTATTATTATTATTATTATTATTATTTATAACCCAGGAACAAAAATTGTGTTACATAGTGTTAATCAACGGAGGCAAGGGTGCTGTGGCAGACGTACCTGGCAATCTCTCGAGCGATTTGTTCGTTGGGGCAACTGATGAAAGCCAGGGAATGGGAGCCAGAGATGTAGCTGCCGGTCAGTGCCGAGTGGAGCTGGAGGCCCATCATCCTCAGCAACGGATACATCAGCAGAGAAAAAGTCATGGCCTCAAAGGAGGAGAAAGACAAGCCAGCTGTCAAGTACAAGCCATTACAGTTATAAACATCCGACTTACAAATGATTCACAGTTAAGAACAGGGCTGGACTGGATAGCCTTTGGGGGTCCCTTCCAAAGCTATGATACTATATCTATCTTAACCGAAATCTGTATAAATAAAAATGTAATATTGTTTTGTCGGATTAACATAACTCAAAAACCACTGGACGAATTGCTCCCAAATTTGGTGACAAGACACCTACTAACGCAAGGAGTAACCATCACTCAAAAAAAAATTGATTTGGGAGTTCTAGTTCACCTATCTCCAGAAAGCACTGTGGACTCAAACAATGATAGATCTGGACCAAACTTGGCACAAATATTCAATATGCCCAAATGTGAACACTGTTGGAGTTTGGGGAAAATAGACCTTGACATTTGGGAATTGTAGTTGCTGGGATTTATAGTTCACCTACAATCCGAGAGCATTCTGAACCCCACCAATGATAGAATTGGGCCAGACTTCCCACACAGAACTCCCATGACCAGCAGAAAATACTGTGTATCCTGATGGTCTTTGGCGACCCCTCCAACACCTCCTCGCGACCCCCCCCCCGGGGTCCCGACCCCCAGGTTGAGAAGCACTGCTTTACAATCTATGATACTATATCTCTGTGTGTGAATCATTGGTCCGGATCCATCATTGTTTGAGTCCACAGTGCTTTCTGGAGATAGGTGAACTAGAACTCCCAAGCTCAAGGCCAATGCTCACCTACCCCTTCCATTATTTTTTGGTGGTCATGGGCATTCTGTGTGCCAAGTTTGGATCAATTTAACCTCTGGTGGAGTTCGGAATGCTCTTTGATTATAGGTGAACTATAAATCCCAGCAACTACAACTCCCAAGGTTCAGAGAATGAAAATGCACCCTTCCTATCAGATTTTTACACGACAATTCATAACAGTAGCAAAATTCCAGTTATAAAATAGCAACGAAAATAATTTTAGAGTTGGGGGGTCACCACAACATGAGGAACTATATTAAGGGGTTGTGGCATTAGGAAGGTTGAGAACCACACACACAGAGAGATATAGTATCATAGATTTGAAAGGGACTTCTAAAGAAGGACAATTAGATATTGCAGAGCAGGCAAACCAGACAATCTCCACATCAACACTGACAAAGAAAAAGCAAGAAATACTATTTACCCACAAGCAGAAAGGAATTACATAGATTAGAAACCAACACTTTCTAATTACTTTATTTTCCAGATCATCAGACTGGGCCACAGCAACGCCTGGCAAGGGACGGCTAGTCCATACTATAATCTGAGCCCACATGTATTAATATAGTAATTGCTTTTGCCAATCTTTCACGGGTTGGGTTTCAATTGTTTTGAAAGCCTGGCAACCATGTGTTCGCTCGGATCCAGGTCAGATACTCACCAATGGAGAGGTCAAAAGAGAGAGGACACTTACGAGAAACACAGCTGTGATGGGACCCGGACGAGAGATCCAGCTGGGCAGGAGTGCCAGGAGCGCTTGGTGGCAACGAGAGAGGGCCTTGTCCATCTTCATGGATGCTAAGCAGGGTCAGCCCCGGCTGGCCTTTGGATGGGAGACCAAGTGCAGATTCCAGGGGTTGGGGATGCTCATCTTGCAGAGGAAGGTAGAATACCTTTATACCTGAGCTCTTTTCTCCTTTCGTCTCCCAGGCAGAAGAAGCGGAAACAACAGCCTGCAAAAGGTTGCCAAAGCAATTGATTGGCATCTGGTTGAAACTCCTCCTCCTCTTTGCAAGCAGCTGGGAGTGTTGTTGTTGATGCCCGCCTTGCCAGGGAATTATTGTGATTTTAAAACGTCACCAATGCTAGGAAAATCCTTGCCTTCCTGGAATAATTCCCCACTTGATCCCAGATCGGAGAAGAACCCAGTTCTTTGTTTTGTTGCAATAGTGATGTATTTTCACAACTATTCATTAAGCTCTAGGCTTAATTCTACAAAGGAGAAGTTGTCAATGAATGCATCTTTGTTTACAAAATATTCAGTGCAAAATGCAACATGCACACAAATATATAAATATGATAGGGAAAATAGGAAATTGCAGCTCAGTATACTTTTATTGACAAGATATGCACTGCAAAATATGCATATAATAAATTAAAATATAATAGGCGAATTATTACCTAATATAAAATTGTGGCAAGTTCTTGGTGGGATGGGCATCCCAAGCCCCCTTCCCTCTCTCCTGAGGAATCTGTACAAGGACCAAGTCGCAACAGTCAGAACTGACCACAGAACAACAGACTGGTTCAAGATTGGGAAAGGCGTACGGCAAGGCTGCATCCTCTCACCCAACCTTTTTAACTTGTATGCAGAACACATCATGCGATGTGCGGGGCTTGATGAATGCAAGTCTGGGGTGAAAATTGTTGGAAGAAACATTAACAACCTCAGATATGCAGATGACACCACTCTGATGGCCGAAAGCGAGGAGGAGCTGAGGAGCCTTCTAATCAAGGTGAAAGAAGAAAGCGCAAAAGCCGGGTTGCAGCTAAACGTCAAAAAAACAAGATTATGGCAACAAGAATGATTGACAACTGGAAAATAGAGGGAGAAAGCGTGGAGGCCGTGACAGACTTTGTATTTCTAGGTGCAAAGATTACTGCAGATGCAGACTGTAGCCAGGAAATCAGAAGACGCTTACTTCTTGGGAGGAGAGCAATGTCCAGTCTCGATAAAATAGTGAAAGAGTAGAGACATCAGACTGGCAACAAAGATCCGCCTAGTCAAAGCCATGGTATTCCCTGTAGTCACCTACGGATGTGAGAGCTGGACCTTAGGAAGGCTGAGCGAAGGAAGATCGATGCTTTTGAGCTGTGGTGTTGGAGGAAAGTGCTGAGAGTGCCTTGGACTGCGAGAAGATCCAACCAGTCCATCCTCCAGGAAATAAAGCCCGACTGCTCACTGGAGGGAAAGATACTAGAGACAAGTTGAAGTACTTTGGCCACATCATGAGGAGACAGGAAAGCCTAGAGAAGACAATTATGCTGGGGAAAGTGGAAGGCAAAAGGAAGAGGGGCCGACCAAGGGCAAGATGGATGGATGGCATCCTTGAAGTGACTGGACTGACCTTGAGGGAGCTGGGGGTGGTAACGGCCAACAGGGAGCTCTGGCGTGGGCTGGTCCATGAGGTCACGAAGAGTCGGAGACGACTGAACAAATGAACAACAACAACAAAAATATGATAGGGAAAATGGGAAATTGCATTACAATATATGATACAAATCAAAATATGATAGGGTATTCATTACCTTTAGTTACAAAATTCATATAATCATAATAATATACTTTATTATGATAAATAATATTGGAATATTATAATAGTTATACTATTATAATAAAATTATTATATAATAATTTATTATTATATAATATATTAGCAAAAATGGGAAAGTGCAGCTCAATGTACCTTTAGTTACAAAATTTATATAATCATAATATACTTTATTATGATAAATATTATTGGAATATTATAATATAGTTATATTATTATAATAAAATTATTATATAATAATTTTATTATTATTATTATTATTATTATTATTATTATTATTATTATTATTATATGATATATTCGAATAGGGAAAATGGGAATTTGCATCTCAATGTACCTTTAGTTACAAAATTCATATAATCATAATAATATACTTTACTATGATAAATAGTATTGGAATATTATAATAGTTATATTATTATAATAAAATTATTATATAATAATTTATTATTATACAATATATTAGAATAGCAAAAATGGGAAAAAGCAGCTCAATGTACCCTTAGTTACAAAATTCAGGTAATCATCATTATAAATTTTAGTATGATAAATAATATTGGAATATTATAATAAAGTTATATTGTTATAATAAATTATATAATAATTTATTATTATCCAATATATTAGAATAGGAAAAATGGGAAACTGCAGCTCAATGTACCTTTAGTTATAAAATTCATATAATCATAATAATAAATTTTAGTATGATAAATAATATTGGAATATTATAATAAAGTTATATTGTTATAATAAAATTATTATATAATAATTTATTATTATATAATATATTAGAATAGCAAAAATGGGAAATTGCAGCTCAATGTACCTTTAGTTACAACATTCATATAATCATTATAATATACTTTATTATGATAAATAATATTGGAATATTATAATAAAGTTATATTATAATAAAATTATTATATAATATATTAGAATAGGGAAAATGGGAATTTGCAGCTCAATGTACCTTTACTGACAAAATATTACATTACAAAATATGATACAAATTAAAATATTATAGGGTATTACATATTATATATGTTATATATATATATATATATATATATACTAGTATAAGTTTTCTCCTGACATGAAGTCCAGTCGTGTCCGACTCTGGGGTGTGGTGCTCATCTCCATTTCTAAGCTGAAGAGCCGGCGTTGTCCCTAGACAACTCCAAGGTCATGTGGCCAGCATGACTGCATGTCCTTACCTTCCTTACCTACTCACATTTGCATGTTTTCGAACTGCTAGGTTGGCAGAAGCTGGGGCTGACAGCGGAAGCTCACGCTGCTCCCCGGATTTGAACCTGCGACCTTTCAGTCAACAAGTTCAAGAGAAAATGGGAATTTGTAGCTCAATGTATTATTTACAAAATGTATTTATTTATTTACATTTATTAAAATATTATTGAAAAAAAGTAGCTAAATACAGCTTTCTTTACAAAATATGCAATATAAAATGTAAGATAAATTAAAATATTATAGGGAAAATATTAGGCTTGGGCAATCCATGGTTCTAAATGGTTCTAAAGTACTTACAAAACTAAAGTTCTGGTGGTGAAAATTTCAGAACACTAACAAAACTCTCAAAATTTCATAATAAATGGCAGTTCCTAATTGGTTCTGTCATTAAAATCACCAATAATGAAATAATAATTAATGTTTGAAAGTTTTGTTAGAGTTCTGAAATTTTCACCACCAGAACTTTAGTTTTGTAAGTATTTTAGAACCATTTAGAACCATGGATTGCCCAAGCCTAGAAAATATGCATTACAAAATATAATATAGTACAAATTAAAATATTATAGGATAATATTATAGGATAATATATAATATAATGTACCTTCATTAAAATATTCATTGCAATGCATATAGATATAAATATATGAAATGTTTGTTAATTTTCCTATGTATGGAGGTTTTTGGACATCCTGCATTGATGTTTATAGACTTTAGTTTTAATTATATAATATATATTATGTATTATGTATTATTATTAGACGTTTTGTGTCTTTGAAACAGAATAATAATAATAAGAGAAATTCTTAACCCTTGGGGATGCGTCTACACTGCAGAAATAACGCGTTTTGACCCCACTGTGGCTCAATTCCCTGGAGTTCTTGGGATTGCCACGCCCCCAGGCTCCTTGAGCCAATCAGAACCTTGAGCGCCCAGGATATAAACAAAGGGGCGGGGTTTGGAGATCTCGACACGGAGCGCTTTGTTACGCTTCGGTCGCTTAGGCTGGAAATCTCGCGGGATCTCACGCCTTCTCAATTTTCCAGGGCCGGTGGTCTCGCGAGACTTCCCCTCCTCGCCCTTTCTTCCAAGATGGCGGAGCCTCCCGGAGTCGAGGCGGCTTTGGCGCTGCTGGGCCGCGTTTCGCGGATGGAGGAGCCCTTGGAAGAGCTGCGGGCCTTGAAGGTGGCTCTGCAGGCGCTGCCGCCCGCTGCTCTGCGGGAGAGAGGACCCGAGTTCCCCTTGGCCGGGTTGTTCGCCCTCATGGGCCGGGGAGATAGGTGAGTGGAGGGGAACTACAACTCCCAGGGTTCAGTCGCATTGAGCCAGAACAGTTAAAGGCTGTCAGATTAACAATCTCTGTGTTGTCTAAGGCTTTCATGACCGGAATCACTGGGTTCTGTAAGATTTCATGTTCCAGAAGCATTCTCTCCTGACGTTTCGCCTGCATCTAAACTACAACTCCCAGGGTTCTGTCGAATTGAGGCAGAACAGTTAAAGGCAGCCAGACTAACAATCTCTGTGTTGTCGAAGGCTTTCATGGCCGGTTTCTGTGAGATTTCCTGTTCCAGAAGCATTCTCTCCTGACGTTTCGCCTGCATCTAAACTACAACTCCCAGGGTTCTGTCGCATTGAGCCAGAACAGTTAAAGGCTGCCAGACTAACAATCTCTGTGTTGAAGGCCTTCATGGCCGGTTTCTGTGAGATTTCCTGTTCCAGAAGCATTCTCTCCTGACGTTTCGCCTGCATCTAAACTACAACTCCCAGGGTTCTGTCGAATTGAGCCAGAACAGTTAAAGGCTGTCAGACTAATCTCTGTGTTGTCGAAGGCTTTCATGGCCGGTTTCTGTGAAATTTCCTGTTCCAGAAGCATTCTCTCCTGACGTTTCGCCTACATCTAAACTACAACTCCCAGGGTTCTGTCGCATTGAGCCAGAACAGTTAAAGGCAGCCAGACTAACAATCTCTGTGTTGTCGAAGGCTTTCATGGCCGGTTTCTGTGAGATTTCCTGTTCCAGAAGCATTCTCTCCTGACGTTTCGCCTGCATCTAAACTACAACTCCCAGGGTTCTGTCGAATTGAGCCAGAACAGTTAAAGGCTGTCAGACTAATCTCTGTGTTGTCGAAGGCTTTCATGGCCGATTTCTGTGAGATTTCATGTTCCAGAAGCATTCTCTCCTGACGTTTCGCCTGCATCTAAACTACAACTCCCAGGGTTCTGTCGAATTGAGGCAGAACAGTTAAAGGCAGCCAGACTAACAATCTCTGTGTTGTCGAAGGCTTTCATGGCCGGTTTCTGTGAGATTTCCTGTTCCAGAAGCATTCTCTCCTGATGTTTCGCCTGCATCTAAACTACAACTCCCAGGGTTCAGTCACATTGAGCCAGAACAGTTAAAGGCTGCCAGACTAACAATCTCTGTGTTGAAGGCCTTCATGGCCGGTTTCTGTGAAATTTCCTGTTCCAGAAGCATTCTCTCCTGACGTTTCGCCTACATCTAAACTACAACTCCCAGGGTTCTGTCGCATTGAGCCAGAACAGTTAAAGGCTGCCAGACTAATCTCTGTGTTGTCGAAGGCTTTCAAGGCCGATTTCTGAGCGATTTCATTTTCCAGAAGCATTCTCTCCTGACGTTTCGCCTGCATCTAAACTACAACTCCCAGGGTTCTGTCGCATTGAGCCAGAACAGTTAAAGGCTGCCAGACTAACAATCTCTGTGTTGAAGGCCTTCATGGCCGGTTTCTGTGAGATTTCCTGTTCCAGAAGCATTCTCTCCTGACGTTTCACCTGCATCTAAATGACAACTCTCAAGGTTCTGTCGCATTGAGCCAGAACAGTTAAAGGCTGCCAAGCTAATCTCTGTGTTGTCGAAGGCTTTCATGGCAGATTTCTGTGAGATTTCATTTTCCAGAAGCATTCTCTCCTGACGTTTCGCCTGCATCTAAACTACAACTCCCAGGGTTCTGTCGCATTGAGCCAGAACAGTTAAAGGTTGCCAAGCTAATCTCTGTGTTGTCGAAGGCTTTCATGGCCGATTTCTGTGAAATTTCATGTTCCAGAAGTATTCTCTCCTGACGTTTCGCCTGCATCTAAACTACAACTCCCAGGCTTCTGTCGAATTGAACCAGAACAGTTAAAGGTTGCCAGACTAATCTCTGTGTTGTCGAAGGCTTTCAAGGCCGATTTCTGAGCGATTTCATTTTCCAGAAGCATTCTCTCCTGACGTTTCGCCTGCATCTAAACTACAACTCCCAGGGTTCTGTCGAATTGAACCAGAACAGTTAAAGGCTGCCAGACTAATCTCTGTGTTGTCGAAGGCTTTCAAGGCCGATTTCTGAGCGATTTCATTTTCCAGAAGCATTCTCTCCTGACGTTTCGCCTGCATCTATGGCAGGCATCCCCAGAGGTTGCGAGGTTTGTTGGGAACTAGGCAAGTGAGGTTGATACATCTGTGGAATAATGTCCAGGGTAGGAGAAAGAACTCTTGTCTGTTGGATGCAAGTGTGAGTGTTGCTGTTGGCCAGCTTGATTAGCATTGAATGGATTTGCAGCTTCAAAGCCTGGCTGCTAGGGCAACTAAAATGTACAAAGGTCTGGAGACCATGAATCCCTAATGAGGGGAGTCTTAAAGAATTGGGTCTGTTTAGCCTCAGAAGAGAAGATTGGGAGGAGACATGAGAGCCATGGATTATTATTATTATTAACTTTATTTGTTAATTAATAATATTAATTAATTAATAATAATGGATGAATATGTGAAAGGATGGCATAAGGAATAGGGAGCAGGCATGTTTTCTGCTGCCCTGGAAACTAGGACTTGGAGCAATGGGTTCAAATGACAGAAGGAGATTCCACCTAAACCTTAGGAAGACTTTCCTAATCATATGAGCTGTTCAACAGTGGAACTCTTTGCCTCAGCGTGTGGTGGGAGCTCCTTCCTTGGAAACTTTTAAAGAGAGGTTGGATTGCCATCTGTTGGGGACGCGTGGCTTGAGAGCAGTACGTATGAAAAAGATCTTTGAGTCCTCATGGACAACAAGTTAAACATGAGCCAACAATGTGATGCGGCAGCAAAAAAAGCCAATGGGATTTTGGCCAGCATCAATAGGAGTCTAGTGTCTAGATCCAGGGAAGTCATGTTCCCCATGCTCTATTCTGCCTTGGTTAGGCCACACCTGGAATATTGTGTCCAATTCTGGGCACCACAGTTGAAGAGAAATATTGACAATCTGGAAAGTGTCCAGAGGAGGGCGACTAAAATGATCAAGGGTCTGGAGAACAAGCCCTATGAGGAGCAGCTTAAAGAGCTGAGCATGTTTAGCCTGAAGAAGAGAAGGCTGAGAGAAGACATGATGAGGGCCATGTATAAATACGTGAGAGGAAGTCATAGGGAGGAGGGAGCAAGCTTATTCTCTGCTGCGCTGGAGATTAGGACGCAATGGAACAATGGCTTCAAACTTCAAGAAAGGAGATTCCATCTGAACATGAGGAAGAACTTCCTGACTGTGAGAGCCGTTCAGCAGTGGAACTCTCTGCCTCAGAGTGTGGTGGAGGCTCCTTCTTTGGAAGCTTTGAAACAGAGGCTGGATGGCCATCTGTCTGGGGTGCTTTGAATGCAGTTTTCCTGCTTGGCAGGGGGTTGGACTGGATGGCCCATGAGGTCTCTTCCAACTCTTATGATTCTATAAGTCAAAGTCAGTCTGAATCTTGCTTTGTATGTGGCTTAATGGATCTTCGACATAGATAGTGGCATTACTTTTCAAAGATAACTATGTCACACCTCGAGCAAAGATTTTGCAAGGTCCCTCACTGTGTTCTCTTTGTGTTAATAGAAAGTAGGTATTATTATTATATTTATCATTGATATCCCATTTTTATCTGTCAAACCTAGAGCCAATCCTCAGTGTTAGATTATCTTGCTTGACTCTCATGCTAGGGATTCTTTGGCAGGATTCACACTGACATATGATCCAGTTTCTAAATCCAGATTATCTGCTTTGAACTTGATTATATGAGGCTGGATATACGCTGACGTATAGTCCGGTTTCTGAGTCTGGATCTGCACTGTCATTTCATCCAGTTTCTGAATCCAGATTACATGCTTTGGACTGGATTATATGAAGATGAATCTACACTGCTATATTACCCAGTTTCTGAATCCAGATTATATGCTTTGGACTGGATTATATAAGGCTTGATTTACACTGCTATATTATCCAGTTTCTGAATCCAGATTATCTGCTTTGAACTGGATTATATGAGGCTGGATCTAATTCTGACTTTTTGAATCCAGATTACCTGCTTAGAACTGGATTATGTGGCAATGTAGATGAGGCCTTTGTTTCAAGAACAATTCCTAGGTTATTTAGATGGTCAAGAGTAGGTCTGAAGTTGATTTCCCTGTTGTGTCTTCTTTGCTAAGCAGTGAGCAGATCTCCTTGTGTGTCATCATCCTCGAGCGCTTTCTCCAGGTCATGGATCCCTTGTATGTCATCCAGCACTTTGGGGAAGAACTTCAGAAAGGGCTCTTCCATCCTGACGATGAGGTGAAAATCCTCACAATCTCTCAGGTATTCCTCTCTTGTGCTTATTTGAACTGGCAATCTCATGGAGGGAAGGCGAGGAGACCGATTATCTTGTTTGTTTCTCAGCTGAGACATAATGAATGGCCCAGAGTTTCAACGCCTAGAGGGACAAGAGCTGGAAGCCTTTACTTAAGTATGAAGAAGATGATTTAATGAACATGTTGGGACTCACTGCCGTGTCCCTATTTCCTTTATGGCCCCAAAACCTCTAGGGGCCTTTTTTCCAATCAGATACGAGAAGCAAGGAGATTGTTCAACAGGTTTATTTGGCCAAATCTTCCTGCTGGGTGGAGCAACCAAAGAAAAGTGCCGCACCAAAAATGGGATGCAGCTTAGCTTTGTAACGAAAACTTTGAGCATACTTTGAGCATTTGCGGAGGCTAGCTTGATTCTTATTTACACCAGTTCCAACTCATTGTTGTGTAAACATAATAATCTATTAAACGTACGGTTTTGCAATGTTTGCAGATGTGTTTATAGTGAAATCCGGAAAATATAGACGGCAAAACATTCTGAAAGTTAAGTAACAGCAGGATTTAGCATGTACCTAAAATGTTGAATTAATACAGTTTTGAGAGCACTCTTTGCAGAGGAGGCAAAAGCCCTTGAAAATCACAACTCCCATGATTTTATAGCATTGAGCTGTGGTAGTTAAGTGGTGCTGAACTGCATTAAATCTATAGTGTAGATGCTCCCTAAGAAGTAACAGTTGTGTTTCAACAGCAAAGTTGGAAGATGTCATTACAGAATGTGATTGGAGACCGGCTAATAATAATTTGTATGACTATAATAGGTTTTAATCGGTTTTAAGGGTTTTAGCTGTTTATTTTGAATACCGTCAATATTTAATTCTATTTTAATGTTTATATATTTTCAGATTTTAAATTGTATTTTATTGGTTATACAAGGGGTCCTCAAACTTTTTAAACAGAGGGCCAGGTCACAGTCTCTCAAACTGTTGGAGGGCCGGATTATAATTTGAAAAAAGCATGAGTGAATTCCTATGCACACTGCACATATCTTATTTGTAGTGCAAAAACACTTTAAAACAATACAAAAATTGAAATGAAGAACAATTTTAACATATATAAACTTATTAGTATTTCTATGGGAAGTGTGGGCCTGCTTTTGGCTGATGAGATTGGATTGTTGTTGTTGTGTGCTTTCAAGTCGTTTCAGACTTAGGTTGACCCTGAGCGAGGGCCGGGTAAATGACCTTGGAGGGCCACATCTGGCCCTCGGGCCTTAGTTTGAGGACCCCTGGGTTATACCATAAGCCGCTTTAAGTCTTTTATTTAGAGAGAGAACAAGCGGAATATCAGTAATAATAGTAATTGCATTTAACAATCTTGCCTTGACTCTTTAGGTTGGAAGGATCGTTGAAGACCCCGATGCCGTGCGGGAAATCCTTAACACACCTGAATTGCTGAGGCAGGTCATCTATTGCATTGCTGCAGAGAAAATAGCCGTGGCCAAGGAGGTACGATGTTTTCACGTTGCAAAACGAAGTGTGGAAACATTCAGTTAGTTTCAGGGGTTTCCAGAAGGACAGCAGAAAAATCTTAGGAATGTTCAGTGCTAGAAATGGAAGCTGAGTTCTGTGTTCTGCAGCCTGGAAGTGTGTTTTGTATAGCCTATTCCTCTTTCTGTTCTAGGCCATCAAATCTCTCACGAAGGTTGCGGAAGCACCCGAAGGCCTGGAAGTTTTGCTTGTGGGGAACTTGCTTGTTGACTTGAAAAAGGTTATGGCGAAGAGCGACATCGTCCGCTACCGTGTTTACGAGGCAAGAATCCCAGAGTTGGAAGAGACCCCCAAGGGTCCTCCAGTCCACCCCCTTCTTCCATGCAGGAAAACCCAATCTGTTCCCTCCCAACAGAGGCCGTCCAGTGCCTGCTTTTGTTTCTTGGCGGCTTAGAGCCTTGCTGATTTTGATATCTCCCAGGCTACAGTTTGCTCTGGCTTAGGGGCTCCTTTGTGGCCACTGCTTAACATTGTTGAAGTAGGAAATCATTTTGAAGCCAGTTTCCCTCCAAACGCACTACGTTGAACATTTATCATTCTGCTTCTTATGGGGCAACTGGCCCTTTGATATTATGCAGGTATTTATTTATTTATTTGTCATGTCAGGGCAACCAGTCAATTATATTACATTTCTAACAGAACAAAGCAAACAAACAGACAAAATACAAAATTTGTGAGTTTGGTAGTTGATTAAATGTCCTTTGACCAGTATCTGGCCACTTGGAATGCTTCTGGTGTTGCTGCAAGGAGGTCCTCCATTGTGCATGTAGCAGGGCTCAGGTTGCATTGCAGCAGGTGGTCAGTGGTTTGCTCCTCTCCGCACTCGCATGTCGAGGATTCCACTTTGTAGCCCCATTTCTTAAGATTGGCTCTGCATCTTGTGGTGCCAGAGCGCAGTCTGTTCAGCGCCTTCCAAGTCGCCCAGTCCTCTGTGTGCCCAGGGGGGAGTCTCTCATTTGGTATCAGCCATTGGTTGAGGTTCTGGGTTTGAGCCTGCCACTTTTGGACTCTCGCTTGCTGGGGTGTTCCAGCGAGTGTCTCTGTAGATCTTAGAAAACTATTTCTAGATTTAAGTCGTTGATACCCAGCCAGGTATTATGCAGGTATAGTATGGCAATTCCATTTTACTGCCAAACCTGCATAATCCGGAGTCTTGGGGTTGTCACGCACTAGAATATTCCTCTCAACTGCAATTGGGGGATGGAACCGTGGCATTTTAAGTGGGAACGTAATGCTATGATTGTGCAATGTGAAAGGGCATTCTGGTTGCAGAATGCCATCTCTTTTATGAGTGGATATAAAGCTAAAATACAAGAAATGCAATTAGAATTACATTTAAAGCTCACCGTGCTCCCCAAATCCCACCCACAACCTCCCCAGCAGCATCTCCCTCATCCTCCTCCAAAGGCCTGGTGTCAAAGAAAGGAGATAAATAGTTAAAGTGCCAAACTCTTGGGCCTTTCAAAGTCTCTCATTCTCCCTTCCTTTGCTTTTGTGTTAGCTAGTCATCGGCATCGCCTCGATGTCGGCGGATTCCCTGAACTACTGTGTCAACAGTGGCTTAATATCGGAGCTGATTGCAGAGCTAACAGGGAACGACGTGCTTGTCAGGTAAAGAGCAGTGCTGCAAGTTTTGGTCTAGCTTTGAATATTGCTCGAACATAAGGGTCTGAAATGAATGTTTTTGCTGCCTTTTTTATATCTTGTAGAGCCACCTGCATCGAGACAGTCACATCGCTTGCTCACACTCACCACGGACGCCAGTATCTGGCCCAGCAAGGAGTCATTGATAAGATTTCCAATATCATAATTGGGGCCGACGCAGATCCTTTCTCAGGTTTCTACTTGCCAGGTGATTTATTGTCCTCCTTTCTGCTTTGTGTGTGTGGGTGGGTTTTTTATCTAATAGATTTATGTGCCATCCCTTTCCCATCGAGCAGTTTATACTTGTAATACACCTTCGCAGTGAGCTGTCAGGCTGGTCAAAAGGGCCTTTTTCTCAGCCTTATTATCATTTATAATAATATATCATCATCAATGAAATCCTTCCTCATTCCTGGAGCCTCCTCCTTATAATTTACATTGTCCTATCTCCCAGTGTTTTAATTTTTTTTTAAAATTGTATCCTTGAATCTGGCCCTGCCTTGTGAAATTTTCTGCGTTTTTAATGCTTGATTATATTATTATAATATCATCATTTATATCCCACTTTCCTCTCTTAAATCAGACTCAAAAGTATTGCAGCTCCATTGCAAGGTTAAGCTGCCAGTGGATCATGATGTGTTGTTGTTATTATTTATTAACATTTTAATGATTTATAGGATTTTAATTGTGTATTTTATATTGTATTTAATAATCTGGTTTTCATGTATTTATCTAATTGCCTTATACGTGAAAGATCTATGGTCTAAGGCTCTAAGCATTGAATAAACTGGAAACTATTATTATTCCTTTCTTAAAACAGACTTGAAATATTCTCCACCTGAGCCTTAACTGCAAGGTGAATCTGCCAGTGGATTATTATTATTATTATTATTATTAGTAATATCCCACTTTCCTCTCTTAAACAAGACTACAAGTATTGTCCACCTTGAGCCCCAACTGCAAGGTTAAACTGGGTTAGCATGTCCCATTTCAGTTCACCGGAAGTAACATTAAGTCAGTTCTGGCCTCTTTCAGATGATTTTGGGGACTCTCCCAAAATGTAGAAGTCAGCCACTCTGCCAGCTTTGGATGGATTTGGGTAGTTTTTCAGAAAAATAATGGTCTGAAAATGGCTGAATTGCTGAAGATTAGAATCTGCTGAACTGCTGCTCATGCTTTTGTTGTTGCTTCTTTATCATTTTTGAATGCTTTTTTCCCCTTTTAAAAAATTCTTGGTAGGCTTTGTGAAATTCTTTGGCAATCTTGTGATAGTGGACAGCCCCCAGCAGATCTGCGAGAGATACCCGGCCTTTGTGGAGAAGGTCTTTGGCATGGCAGAAGGGCAGGACCCGACCCTCTTTGGAGTCGGGGTGGACACCCTCGGGATCCTGGGCTCCAACCTGGAGGGAAAGCTGGTTCTGCAAAAGAAAGGTGTGTACTCTCGGTGCCTGGGTCGCATGCAGACTTCTAGTTTTGTACCTAGCAGGAAGTCACGGTTAATGAGAGGCATTGCAGTTTAATTTCAGGGTCCTGTGCCAAGAAAAATCTTGTGAATTGATGGCAACTGATGCTACCAATAAGGAAAAAAAAATGTTTTCTTTCAAAATGCCATAATGACTGCCTAAACTTTCAAAATAAAGTAGTTTTCCATCTGTAAACAAATGGATAACCAAACTGCTAAACTTTGCAGGATTTGATAAATTAACCTGTCTCCTTAGCAATAAAGCATACAGTGTTTTCAAACTAATTGGAAACCTTTCACAGAATCATAGAATCAAAGAGTTGGAAGAGACCTCATGGGCCATCCAGTCCAACCCCCTGCCAAGAAGCAGGATTATTGCATTCAAATCACCCCTGACGGATGGCCATCCAGCCTCTGTTTAAGAGCTTCCAAAGAAGGAGCCTCCACCACACTCCAGGGCAGAGAGTTCCACTGCTGAACGGCTCTCACAGCCAGGAAGTTCTTCCTCATGTTCAGATGGAATCTCCTTTCTTGCAGTTTGAAGCTATTGTTCCATTGTGTCCTAGTCTCCAGGGAAGCAGAAAACAAGCTTGCTCCCTCCTCCCTGTGGCTTCCTCTCACATATTTATACATGGCTATCATATCTCCTCTCAGCCTTCTCTTCTTCAGGCTAAACATGCCCAGCTCCTTAAGCCATATACATATATGGTCCATAATAGGGTGGAGTGATTAAAAATATGTTGTCAGAAAGAAGAGCAAGATTATGATCAATATTGTATAATTAGGTCACCTTTGAATACTTTGTGTAAAATCTAAATATATGGTTCTGACCCATCTTACTTGTCCGAACGCATCTGCCTCTATGTCCCATCTCATAATTTAAGATCATCCGGGGAGGCCCTGCTCGCGTTCCCACCAACAACGCAAATGCGTTTGGTGGGGACGAGACAGGGCCTTCTTGGCTGTGGCCCCCCGCTTATGGAACGTGCTCCCAAATAAGATCGGCTTCTTCCCTCCTGGCTTTCAGGATAAAATTGAAGTTGTGGTTTTGGGATCAGGCTTTTAGAGAACAGACTTAATTTAGCACTTTGATTGGAAATTGACTGGAAAGGCGCTACAGCTGATGATACTGTTTATTGTTTAATTAATGCTTTATGTATTTTAATTATTGTAATTGTTTATATGTGGCGGCATCGAATCGTTGCTAAATGTAAGCCGTCCTGAGTCCCCTTTCGGGGGTAGAGAAAAGACGGGGTAGAAATACCAGAAATAAATAAAATAAATAAATAGACCATATATACTCGAGTATAATGAGTATATATATAATGAGTATACTGAGATTGGTTAATCTCAGACGAAATTGGATTGCGATTACAATTAAGAGATGCATTGGATTGTTATTGGTGGCCCAATAATATTGTGTATTGTGTATGTGTTTTTATGCTTTTTTAATGGAATATTGCTGCTTGTCGTGTTGTAAACCGCGTTGAGTCGCCGATTTAGGCTGAGAAACGGTGGTATATAAGCACAGTAATAAATAAATAAATAAATATAAGCCGAGTTTTTCAGCCCTTTTTTAAAAGATTCATATGTTTTATTATTATTAGAAAGTGTAAGATTACTACTGTTAATGGGTGGCTTTATATACCAATAGTTATGTTATAATGTGTACACTTTGGAAATAATAAAAATAATTTAAAAAAAGGAAAATTCTTGTGATATTTACCAGAAGTAGGCCTTGTAGAAGGCAGCTGTATAATGAAAAAATCTCTCTCCTTTGCTTCCAGGAAGCAGATTCCAAAGTGTGCTCAACAGAATAGGACACCAGGCCAAGAATGCCCCGACGGAATTGCGGATCCGGTGTCTGGATGCCATCTCATCTCTTTTGTACCTGCCGGTACGTTACTTGAATGGAAAATATCCCTCTTTTTCTTCCCATGGACTAAATGGGCCTTTGTAGGGAAGAGTGGCCTTGGACATTGAAACATCCACCATAAAAGATTTGTGACAATCCTCAGATTGCCTCCTTTCAGGTTTTCTAAAAATACGAATTCTTTCCTTCCTTTCTATTACATTATCTAGCACAATTTGAAAAAAGTTCTGTTACTGGTTTGAAAGTGTTATTTCCTTTAATTGTTTAATTGTACGGTACAGACTTTGAAAGTAGTTGTTATCCTCCAGAAACTTCATTTTTGTGACTGCCACAAATTAGGTTGAATTGGTTGAGGCTTAATGAAATACTCTTGAAAAACTAGAGAAAAATGTGCTATAGCAGGATGTCCCTCCTGCAAAAACAGTTTTTGTAGTTTAATGAACTTTTCCATGTTTTTATGATAAAACCAATTAGGAAGTGACATTGATAACCTAGGAACAGAAATCATGTTTCATAGTGTTATTTATGCTCCAGATTTCAGCCACAAAGGCTCTAATAAGCAGCTTACAAAACATTACTGTATATACTTGAGTATAAACTGACCTGAATATAAGCCAAGGCACCTAATTTTACCACAAAACCCGGGAAAACATATTAACTCAAGTATAAGCCGAGGGTGGGAAATGAAGAAGCTATTTTCACGTCAAAATAAAAATAAATACCAATACAATTACATTAATTGAGGCATTAGGAGGTTAAATGTTTTTGAGTACTGTATATACTCGAGTATAAGCCTAGTTTTTCAGACCTTTTTGTAGGCTGAAAAAGTCCCCCTCGGCTTATACTTTAGTCAAGTTTATTTATTATATTACTATGTTATAAATCCATAATAAATGTATTATTATTATTATTATTATTATTATTACATTTATTATTTTACTTTAGTATTGTTGTTATTCTTGCATTTATTATTTTAGTTATTTATTTACAGTATTTGTATACCGCTTTTCTCACCCCAAAAAGCGGTATACAAATATATTTATTATTATTGTTATTATTAAATTTATTATTTTACTCTATTTCAGTGTTTCTCAACTTTCCTAATGTCGTGACCCCTAAATACAGTTCTTCATGTTGTGGTGACCCCCAACCAGAACATCAATTTTGTTGCTACTTCATAACTGTAATTTTGCTCCTGTTATTAATCAGAATGTAAATATCCAATATGCAGGATGTGTTTTCATTCACTGGACCAAATTTGGCACAAATACCTAATATGCCCAAATTTGAATACTGATGGGGTTGATTTTGTCATTTGGGAGTTATAGGTTGCTGGGATTTATAGTTCACCTACAATCAAAAGCATTCTTAACTCCACCAACTATGGAATTGAACCAAACCTGGCACACAGAACTCCCATGACCAAGAGAAAATGCTGGAAGGGTTTGGTGGGCATTGATCTTGAGTTTGGGAATTGCAGTTCACCTACATCTAGAGAGCACTGTGGACTCAAACAATGATGGATCTGGACCAAACTTGGCACAGATCCCCATTATGCCCAAATGTGAACACTGGTGGAGTTTGGGGAAATGAGACTTGATATTTGGGAGTTGTAGCTGCTGGGATTTATAGTTCACTTACAAACAAAGAGTATTATGAACCCCACCAACGACAGAATTGGGCCAAACTTTCCACACAGAACCCCCATGACCAACAGAAAATACTGTGTTTTCTGATGATCTTTGGTGACCCCTCTGATGCCCCCTCGCGACCCCCCCAGGGGTCCCGACCCCCAGGTTGAGAAACACTGCTCTATTTATTATTATTGTTAATATTACATTTCCATTATTTTGCTCTATTATTATTAATATTACATTTCCATTATTTTACTCTATTTATTTTGATTGGAAGGATATGCAAGCACATTTACATTGAAGAAGGTCAGAATGGTTTAATCAGAGTTGGGCAGTCTTATCTTAAATTACAGTTTTATGTAAATATTCAAAAACATTTAACCTACTGATGCCTAAATTAATATAATTTTATTTGTATCTATTTCTATTTTGAAATTTACCAGTAGCTGCTGCATTTCCCACCCTTGGCTTATACTCGAGTCAATCCATTTTCCCATTTTTTTGTGGTAGAATTAGGTGCCTTGGCTTATATTCGGGTCGGCTTATATTCGCGTGTATACGGTATTTACATAAAACTGTAATTTTAAAATAAGACTGTCCAACTCTGATTAAACAATTATTCTAACCTAATCTAATCATATGATATTATAATTATATATTTTATATTACATGTAATATTACTAATAATATTACAATATAATGGTGTAGTACAATATAGTAATATATAATACTGATATTGTACTATGCTAATAATGCAATATATTATATGTTGCTGTGGCCCACATGGGGGTTCTGTGTGGGAGGTGTAGCTTAATTCTATCATTGGTGGGGTTCAGAATGCTCTGTGATTGTGGGTGAACTATAAATCCCGGCAAGTACAACTCCTAAATGTCAAGATTCTATTTTCCCCAAACTCCACCGGTGTTCACATTTGGGCATATTGAGTATTCATGTAGAGTTTGGTCCAGATCCATCATTGTTTGAGTCTACAGTGCTCTACCTGGATGTAGGTGAACTACAACTCCAACACCAAAGGACATTGCCCACCAAACCCTCCCAGTATTTTCTATTTGTCATGGGAGAACTGTGTGCCAAGTTTGGTTCAATTCCATCGTTGGTGGGGTTCAGAATGCTCTTTGATTGTATATGAACTATAAATCCCAACAACTACAACTCCCAAATGTCAAGATTCTATTTTCCCCAAACTCCACCAGTGTTCACATTTGGGCATATTGAGTATTCGTGTAGAGTTTGGTCCAGATCCATCATTGTTTGAGTCCACAGTGATCTCTGGATGTAGTTAAACTACAACTCCAAAACCAAAGAACACTGCCCACCAAACCCTTCCAGTGTTTTCTGTTGCTCAGCAGAGAACCGTGTGCCAAGTTTGGTTCAGTTCCATCGTTGGTGGAGTCCAGAATGCTCTTTGATTGTAGGTGAACTATAAATCCCAGCAACTACAACTCCCAAATGAAAAAATCATAATTTTTTGAGTGATGGTCACTCCTTGTGTTCTGAGATGTTTTGTTGCCAAATTTGCTGTGATTTCTTTCATTGATTCTTTTGTTTTTAAGGAACTCATTATGCACAGAGCATTTTTATAGATAACCTTCTTCAATGTATATGTGATTACATTTCCTTCCAATAATAATAAAGGGAGTATAGTAATAAATGTAATAATAATAATAGAGCAAAATAATGGAAATGTAATAATTATTATAAATGCATTTACCTATCTTTGGCCATACAGCTGGATCAGCAGACCGAAGACCTTCTTGGCATGATGGAGTCCTGGTTCTCCTCTCTGGCCAGTCATCCCTTGGAGCTTTTCAGGAGCATCAGCACACAGCCCTTCCCTGACCTCCATTGCGGTGCCTTGAGGGTGTTCACCGTAAGTGCCTTTTGCAATAGATCCACGTCTGAATTGGTTTCAGAAATTTGACTTTCTCAAAGCAGAGTTTTCCAGGCTGACTGGCCATGTTCCAGAAGCATTCCCTCCTGATGTTTCACCCACATCTATGGGAGGCATCCTCAGAGGTTGAGGGGTCTGTTGGAAACTAGGCAAATAGGGTTTATATACCTGTGGAATGTCCAGGGTGGGAAAAAGAACTCACGTCTGTTGGAGGCAAGAGTGAATGTTGCCATTGGCCCTTGATTAGCAGTTGAGTAGCCTTGTAGCTTCAAAACCTGGCTGCTTCCTGGCCAGGGGAACTCTTTGTTGGGAGGTATTAGCTGACCAACAAAAAATAGTGAAGGCCTTTGGAGGAATTTCTAGCAGTTGTAGTTCATCTACATCCGGAGTGCGCTATGAACCCAAACAATGATGGATCTGGACCAAACCTGGCATGCATACCTGATATGCCCAAATTCGAATACTGGTGGCTTTTGAGGGGAATTGGCCTGGACATTTTAGAGTTGTAGGTACTGGGATTTATAGTTCACCTGCAATCAGTGAGCACTTTGAACTCCACTAAAGATGGAATTGGACCAAACTTGGCACACAGAACCCCTGTGACCAGCAAAAAATTCACCTTGATTTGGGGGAGTTGTAGTTCACCTACATCTAGCGAGTACTGTGAACCTAAATACCGATGGATCTGAATTTGGTACACACACCTGAAATGCCAAAATGTGATTACTGGAGGGCTTTGTGGGAAATTCGCTTTGATTAATAGGAATTATAGTTCACCTACATCCAGAGAGTACTGTGAACCCAAGCAATGATGGATCTGAACTTGGCACACACACCTGAAATGCCAAAATGTGATTACTGGAGGGCTTTGTGGGAAATTCACTTTGATTAATAGGAATTATAGTTCACCTACATCTAGAGAGTACTGTGAACGCAAACAACGATGGAAGCGCACCAAATTCGGCACACATACCCGATATGCCAAAATTTGAATACTGGTGGGTTAGGTGTGGAATTCGACTTGACATTTGTTAGTTGTAGTTATTGAGATTTATAGTTCACTTGCAATCAAAGAGCTCTCCATACCCCACCGATGATGGAACTGGACCAAACTTGGCACACAGAACCCCCATGACTAACTCAACCTACTGGAGGGGTTTGGGGGACTGACTCACCATAGTGGGAGTTGTAGTTTACCCTGCAGCCAGAGAGTACACTGAACCCCTCCGATGATGCATCTAGAGCAAACTTGCCCAGCATGACAAAATTGCTGGAGTTTCAAGGGGTTAACATGACATGATGTGAGTTGTAGTATTTATTTATTTATTTATTTTATGTGTGACATTTATATGCCGCCCTTCTCACCCCGAAGGGGACTCAGAGCGGCTTACTCTCCCTCTCTCTCCCTCTCTCTCTCTCTCTCTCTCTATATATATATATATATATACACACACACACACACACACACATATACACATACATACATACACATACAAACACACACACATACATACATATATAGAGATATATATACACATACACACACACATACAATATATTATATTATTAGCATATAGTAGCATATTTGCAACCTCCATTGCTCTGGTGTTGTAGCAGTACGACAGTTGTAACAGCATCTCTCTCTCTCTTTTAAATCCTCTCTAGGCCATTGCTAACCAACCCTGGGCCCAGAGGCTGATGATAGCCAGCCCTGGCTTTGTGGAATACATAGTGGATCGCTCTGTGGAGCCCGACAAGCCCTCCAAAGAGGCGAAATACGAACTGGTGAAGGCCTTAGCCGGTTCAAAGACAGTGGCGGAAATCTTTGGGAACCAGCATTACTTAAGGCTCCGGGCATATCTACGTGAAGGGCCTTATTACGTCAAGGCCGTCGCGACCACGGCCGTGGAGGGAGCCGAATAGCCTTCCGAAGACTCCGGACTGTCTTGGCTCTTCTCAGTGGGGTTTTGCCTTTGTGGGAATGGAGGGGAAAGAGGGGGGAAAAGATAACGTCTGAGGAAGGAATTGGCTTCGGTAGTGTGGCTTTGAAGTGGGAGATAAATGGGTGATAAATGGGTACAAATGACAAGGAGATCCAGTTGAAACATTTATGTTTACCTTCAAAACTGACCAAGCTTCTCAGTGCAGCTGCCTTTGAAGCTGTGATAGATGCAGTTAGAGCCAGCGCTCTTTGGTGTGCTTCTTCAATTTTGTCTTTTAGGTGTGAATTACTCTTAAATTTGAAGTTATTACACTATGTTGGGGGGGGGGGGGTATCACTGCTCCAAACCCGACTACTATTGTAAGTGGGAGCATTTTTTGCATTTGTAAGAGGGGCTTGATCTATATTTCACCCTGCTTTGAATTTCGATGAGAGTCGAATGTGTGCACTTGATACTCAAGTTTGCAAACGCAGTTTTTGACCCTGTGTTTTGCTCACACTTAAGTTTCAAGTGTGCCCTTAACTGTCTCTTTGGGTCTGTGCTTAAAATAGCCTCGTGTCTGATAGACCTTTTGGACCAGAATAAAGGTTGCCAAACAAGGTAAATAATGAATATTGATGCCTTTGTGTGGTTCATTATTGCTTGGATCCTATTTATGGAGAAATTTGTGCGTTCTGGTCAGTTGACTTCACACTGTCCAAAGGAAACAAAATTCTCATCTATAGTTGCAAGCTTTGAATATTCTGTGATTCTTACTGTCAGATTTGCAGTAATTATAATTGGTGGCATTAGCTGTCTTTTTCTTCTTGCGCTATATGTAATGCAGGGGTTGGAAGGAAAGAAAGAGAGGAGTAAAGAAAAAAGGGAGGAGAGGAGGAAAGAAAGAACAGGAGGAGAAATAAAAAGAACAGGAAAAAAGAAAGGGAGGAAAGAAGAACAAAAAAGAGGAAAGGAAGAAAGAAAAGAGGAAAGGGAGGTGGAAAAGAAAAAGAACAGGAAGAAAAAAGGAAAGAGGAGAAAACAAACAGGAGGAAAAAGAAAAAGGAGCAATGAAAGAAAGGGAGGAGGAAAGAGAAAGGAGAAAGGAAAGGAAGAAAGAATAGACAGGAAAGGGAGGAAAAAAGGAACAGGAGGAAAAAGAAAAGGAGGAACAAGGAGAGAAAGGGAGGAGGAAAGGAAGGGGAGGAGGAAAGAGAAACAGGAGGACAGAAAGGAAGAAAGAAAACGGGAAGGAAAAAGAGAAGGAAAAGAAAAATAACAGGAAGAAAAAGAAACAAAATTAAAAGGAGGAGAAAAATTACAGGAGGAAAAAGAAAAGGAGGAGCAAGGAAAGAAAGAAAGGGACAAGGAAGGAAAGGAAGAAAGAAAAAATGAAGAGGAAGGAAAAGAAAATAAAGGGAGGAGAAAAAGAACAGGAGGAAAAAGAGGAGCAATGAAAGAAAGGGAGGAGAAAGGAAAGGAAGAAAGAATAGGAAAGGGAGGAGAAAAGGAACAGGAGGAAAAAGAAAAGGAGGAACAAGGAGAGAAAGGGAGGAGGAAAAGAAGGGGAGGAAGAAAGAAACAGAGGACAGAAAAGAAGAAAGAAAATAGGAAGGAAAGAGAGGAGGAAAAGAAAAATAACAGGAGGAAAAAGAAAAGGAAGAGCAAGGAAAGAAAAAAATGGAGAAGGAATGTAAGAAAGAAAAAATGAAGGAATGGGAAGAGGAAAAGAAAATGAAGAGGGGAAAAAAGGAAAGGAAAGGGAGGAGAAAAAGAACAGGAGGAAAAAAAATGAGAGGAAGAAAGAAAAAGGGAGGAGGAAAGAAGGGAGCGAAAGAGATGGAATTCTGCCTTTGAGGCCTCATCTGTCACAATGAACACTACTTTTGGATATCCCTCAAAAACATACCCTATTAGCAAGGCTTTCAGTTTTTTTCTCAGATTTGGAATTTCCTTTATTTATACAAATATGATACCTTTCCATTAGAGCAACTAACACATCTTAAACCATAACATACAAGACTGTTAAACCATGATTATAGATGCAGACGGCAACATTCACATACAGCGCAACAATCCTCCCAGAGATGTTTGAAAGGCCCCTACATTCAAACGGGTGGAAAGTCTTGTCGGGAAAGATAGAGGGGAACACACAATATGTAACTAGGGAACTCCTTACAAATCAGCACAACTTGTTTTAACACAATGAGTACATCTAGGGCGAAACAAACACCTTTAATCAGAAAGACCCAGGGCTTCTTTCCGAAGGGTGTCAACACTCAGGTATTTGAATCCGTCCAGGTAAGTCATGACTCTGCAAGAAACCAGCCCATAATAGGTCTCCAGCAGCGTGCAGACTTTGCCGTGGCTGATCTCCTCCCATTCCTGGAGCAGCAGGCTCTCCCTCGCCACGAAGGATGTGAACAAGAACTTGTAGCAGCACCGGTTGAACCGGATGTGCCTTTTCCCAGAGAAGCGAGAGCTGTGAACCGGGACCACCCCGACTTTCTTGGCGCACATTCCCATGAAAACTCCGGGAGGCAAGGACAGTGGGACGTCTTTGGATGTGACGTAGACTTTCCGAGCCACATCCTGAGAGATGACAAACGCCTCCGCGCTGCAATAGTCAGGATAGTATTTCTCCGGATAGATTTGTGGTGGGACGAAGCCAAGACTTTGGGCATCTCTGTCAGGCGACTCTTGCTGGACCACCCTACCCAGATAGACATCATCGAGCCGGGGTCTTAAGTTCAGCAAGTACTCCACCAGAGCTGGGAGGTTGATGAACATCTCCTCGTCTGTTTTCAGAACAAACTTGGCCTGGGAGCAGAAGGTTACAATCCACTCCACGGTTACTAAAGTCTTTAGTGTTTGGTTTTCTGGAGCATCAGGAAAAATGCCTTGAATCAGGTCTGGATGGGTCTCCGTCTCCTTGAGGATCTCCAACTGGGTGAGTTCCTCAGAGGGTTTCCCCAAAAGGAATAAGACGAGTGTGGAATAACCGTGGACATTAGTCGCATTGGCCCATGTTTCTCTTATTGCCTGGCGCCTTGACATGTTCCCTGCACCGCTGAAGATGAGGGCAAGGAGGAAGATCTCTTTGTTGGAGCAGGCCTCTGAATTGACGAGGGCAAAAGCCTTGGAGAAGTTGGCCTTCATGGGAGACAGGTCCAATTTCCGGGCCTCCTCCCTGGCTTCCAGGACATTCACGTCAGTGTAAGTGGTGGGCAAAGCGCGCAGAAAGTACTCTTCCACAAGGTCTGCACCGAAGAGCAAAATGTGGAAGAGCACGAGGTTGAAGAGGAGGAAACACCACTGGTGAGTACGCAGCCTGCAGAAAGTCAGCTGAGGGAGTTGAAAGGAGAGGTTACTGTTATCATTAAAAAATGGTGGCAACCATTTGAACCTTGTTCTCTTATCCCATAGTTCTTTCTTTGACAAGAAATCCTCAGGTGTACTATTTCTTCTTCCAAAAAAGCAAGCTACAAGAAAGAACTGATGACTAGTTCCCATGTCAGTGGGCAGGGAATCCATTCTGGATTTTGGCTAGCTTTAAGGGAGCTCTCCAAGGTGCTGAACTTACCCACATTGGTTCAGCACCTTGGAGAGCTCCTTTAAACCTAGTCAAAAACTGGAACGGATTCATTGCTGAATCTAAAAAAGGGATATGTTCAGTACTGTTAAAGCTGGCATGAAAACATGTGGATTTTAATGTTTTCATGTGTTCAACATACAGGCAGTCCCCGTGTTACAAACCCCAAAAAATATAACTCACTTATCCACTGATTTGGAGTCCATGCTCCAAAAAATATACCTTAGGATATTTTCCAGGATACTTCCTCTAGTGATTCTATTGTATACAGGCAATCCCTGAGTTACAAACATTTGATTTACAAAGGATTCATAGTTAAGAATGGGGATGAGACAATAGGAAGTAAGAGGAAATCTTCTCCTCAGAAAGAAGGGGAATCCACTTCTGGAAGAGTGGAAAAGAGGAAAAGGGATCTCAACTGAAGCCTTATCCCAAGCCTTGTTTCTACAAGTCATTACGGTCCAAAAATCCGGTTATCAAGGGACAGAAAGTGAGGTGAAATCTTCCAAACAGGAGCACAAACAGCAAAGGAAACCCCACAGGGGTGTAACCTTTCTCCATGCTATCCAAAACTTAATTTAATATTACATAAACAAAACAAAACTTAGCATTTGCAAAGCATGGGACTTACCTGCATGATGATGTCTCTGTATTGGAATTTTAGAGATCAAGGATGGTGTCGGGTCGTTTGGGCAATGTTACGTATGCCGGACTGACTGTCCAGATAAAGTTACCTCCTTGTCAACATCCAAGTTCGGCTTTTATTTTTTTCCATTCGGCTTTGGCTCTGAGCAAAGCGAATGTAATTCCAGAGGAGAGCGATCAGGTGTCAGCGGTGACAAAGGGCAGTAATTAGCCCTTTGTGTTTTCTCAATTTCTGAGATTAAAAAACTAGATGTTGTCCCTCCAAAAAATGAGATAGTAAAGTATATCAATAAATGTGTTGCCAAAGGCTTTCAGGGCCGGAATCATTGGGTTGCTGTGAGTTTTCCAGGCTGTATGGCCATGTTCCAGAAGCCTTCTCTCCTGACGTTTCGCCCACATCTGTGGCAGGCATCCTTAGAGGTTGTGAGGTCTGTTGGAAACTAGGCACGTTCAATTTGCACCAACTCTATGGTGTAGATGCACCATAGTATTATTATTATTATTATTATTATTATTATTATTATTATTATTATTATAAGAGGCATTTGTGGTAGAAAAGAGTGACAGCATTCGGGAATAAATGGGAATGCACGTAGTCAAGTTCCTTGACGAAAGCTCATGGCATTTGACATCTTGTAGAGATTTCAACTAGGACCACAGTTATGAGGTCCGTGCCTGGTGAGCATCCGCTAAACCAGATCATCCAGGACAGAGAAACGAACACCTCAGGTTGCTCGTTGTTATAAACAGAGATTTACTACAATTCAGTCCAAAAGGATGCAAATACAAGCAATTCGCTTCAAAAGGTACAAGCGTAAACTCACAGAGAAATACATGACATTTTATACAGTCCTGATATTCCTGCTCCTTCCCCTGATTGACTGCAAAAGAGGCAGGTCAGGATCCATATCCGAGTAGGTCTGGATTCCCTTGAAATAATAATAATAATAATAATAATAATAATAATAATAATAATACTTTATACCCGGTCATCATTTCCCCAAGGGGACTCGGGACGGCTTACTTGAGGCCAAACCCGACAAAATATATCAGTAAAAACAAAGCAAACAAGCAAGTAAAACACAATACAAATATTATAACTAACATAAGCAATAACACACAAGAAAATTAAAACACTGTGGGCAGGGCCAGATGTAGTGGATTAAAAATTTTAAAACACTGGGTGTGAACAGAAGTAGGGTATGTCTAAACAGGGGGGGTTTAGAGGGTAATGTAGAGAGATCAATCCAATGGGTAGATAGTGCTTTAAAGGACATATTGCAGAGAATTAGACAGATCAGGGCATTGTTTTCTTTATTCAGGGAAGGCACACTGCAACAGCCACGTTTTCAAGCTCCTCCTAAAGACTGCCAATGTGGGGGCTTGTCTGATATCCTTGTGGAGTGAGTTCCAGAGTTGGGGGGCCACCATAGAGAAGGCCCTCTCCCTCATCCCCACCAGTCGTGCCTGTGAAGGGGGCGGGAGCGAGAGCAGGGCCTCTCCAGATGATTGAAGGGATTGCGTGAGTTCGTAAACAGAAATGCGGTCACACACGTAGGTGGGCCCCAAACCGTTCAGGGCTTTGTAGGTGAGAACCTGCACCTTGAATTGGGACTGAACATAATGGCCTGAACAAAATCTGGCTACCAGTATTAAAAAACTCTAAAATTACAACAGCACAACAACAGAGAGGAAACAAACAAGGACATCTAATCACCTCTCAACAAAAGTTTGCTCCAGGCACTGTCAGGCCATTATATGCTAATCAAGGTGGTCAGTTGAAACATTCACACCTAGCTCCAGCAGACAAGAGTCCTTTGTCTCACCCTGGTCATTCCACAGATATATAAACCCACTTTTCTAGTTCCAACAGACCTCACTACCTCTGAGGATGCTTGCCATAGATGCAGGCGAAACGTCAGGAGAGAATGCCTCTAGACCATGACCATATAGCCCGAAAAAACCTACAACAACCCAGTGATTTTGGCCATGAAAGCCTTCGGCAATACATTATACATGTCATATTGGTAAGAATTGACACAGGACATAAAAGATACAAGTTATACAAAAATAATCAAATTAATACATTTTATTAAAGGCTTGGAGCCCCCGGTGGCGCAGTGGGTTAAACCGCTGAGCTGCCGAACTTGATGACCGAAAGATCACCGGTTTGAATTCGGGGAGCGGGGTGTTAGCCCCAGCTTCTGCCAACCTAGCAGTTCGAAAATGTCAGGAGAACTGTAAAAATGTGCAAAATTTTATCTGTTCATTGTATGTATTTGGGTTATGTATGTATAAGTAAGTTTGTATCTTTAATTGCTGAAATGCTTGTGATGTGGTTTTGGTTAATTGGGTGCAGGTGGATCTAATTACTGTGGTTATAATGTGTTGCATCTGCCTGCAGCCAGCAGCAGCCTTCAGCAGCTTTCAGCGTCCCTCAGCGTTCTGCTATTGCTATAGCCTTGAGCTTTTGGAGAAGCTATGGCGTTTTGGAGTTTGGGACTCTAAATGTTTTGTTTAGGGTCTGATATCTGATGCAAGATGTTTGTTTTCTTACTTTTGATGTTTTCCACTATGAATTTATAATAAAGAAAGACTCTGCTAACAGGTTATGGGCCCAGAACGCTGCATAATGCGCATGTCTGAGGTAAATATGTGGTGGAACATTAAGAAGTTTTTGAAGGCATTTTTTTTGTTGGAATCTTCTGTTCCTGGCTGTTTTGATCAGCAGTGAGGTTTAAAGTGATGGCTTGCTGCTGTACACTAAACCTTGGAGGATTTGCCTTCAGAGAAATCAAGAAGATTTATGGCTTGCTATGTTGGAAAATTTGCCTTCTACGTGCCTGAGCAGCAAGGGCCAACTAAGTTGCTTTCCTGTCTTGCCTTGCACAGAGGTGTTTTCAACAAAAGTTTCAGAAGCCTAAAGAAGAAGAAAACAGTTTGTGTGTCAGACCCTGTGTTTGGATTCCAGAGAATTACTGCAAAGATATTGGACTGCTAGAAGCCAATTTTACTTGAAGTAGTGAATATAAATTGGCTGAGCTTAAACCCGGGTGTACTGGGGGTCTTTTCTTTTGGTGCAGTGAGTATTTTTGTTTCTGGACTTTTTGGGACTTTAAAGTGAAATACCACAATGGCTTTGCCGCCTCTTCAAGTTGGTTCACTCCCTTTTGATAAACTTTCTGAAAGTAACTGGCTCAGTTGGAGCGTCAGATTTAAAGCTTTTCTTGTTTCTCAGAATTTATGGGACATAATTGAGAACTTGCCAGCTCAATTAACTCCTGCGGATCAACATAAAGATGAAAGAGCTTTGGCACTTCTTCAATTGTCTGTGTCAGATTCTTTGTTGGTGCATCTTCATAATATTCTGCATGCGCAAACTGCGTGGAATTTGTTTAAAGATATGTTTCAGAGACAATCAAGCGGTTCGAAGATAATTCTTATGAGGCAGCTGTTTAACCTCAAACATGAGGAGGGCTCTCCAGTTCAAACTCATGTTACAAGAGTTGTGGCTCTTTTTTCGGAGTTGAGAGCAAGAGACATTATTTTTCCCCCTGAGCAACAAGCGTTAATCTTGATGGGATCTCTATCTCGCCCTTTTTATGCGTTCATGGACTCTCTTCATGGAATTCCTGACAGGGATCTCACGATACCTTTTATTTCAGGAAAAATTATGGAATTTGAGGCTCAACGCAAATTGAGGAGTTTTGCTCCTATACAGAAAAGTTCAAGTTCTGGGACTGCTTCTAATGACACTGCTTGTGTTGCTAAGCCAAAATCGCAAATTGTGTGCTTTAAATGTAAAAAGAAAGGGCATTATGCTAAGAATTGCAAACAGAATCCAGGACAATGGAGAAACAAGCAAGTGGAAAGACCTAGTTCTTCAAAGGACTTACAGCATGCTTTCCTGGTGACCTCTAAGAAGGATATAATGAACTCTTTTATTATAGATTCAGGCTGTTCTCAGCATTTGGTAAAAACTAAAGAACTGTTGACAAATGTGAGAGACTCTGATATAAATTTTATTTCTTTAGCTGATGATAGAAAAGTTAAAGTATTTTCTTGTGGTGATCTTTATATTGACAGTCTGAAATGTACTCTTGAGAATGTGTACTATGTACCCAATATTATGTATAATATTCTCAGTGTGAACAAACTTCTAGATGAAGATTTTGAGATTTCTTTGAAGAAGAATAAGTCTAAGTTAATTGACTTTCAAGGTAATGAAGTACAGCTGAGACAAGAGAAGGGATTTTTTGTTTTAAAGTCTGCTAAAAATGTGTCAGCTTGCATTAAGCAGATACCTGATAATCCCAGGCCATTACACGACAAATGTATTCATGAATTTCACAGGAAAATGGGTCATTTGTCATGGCAGTATCTAAGACAAACAGCTGAGTTGTGTAAAATTCCTATTCAAGGATGTAAGAATTTTCTAGATTGTGAAATTTGTGCAGCAGAAAATCTTAAGAAAGCTCCTATAGCAAAATACAGTGCTAGAGTTTCAAAAAGGATCTTAGAGCTTATACATATTGATGTATCTGGTCCTCATCCTACTTCTGTAGGCGGGTCAAAATATTTTTTGATTTTGGTGGATGATTTTTCTAGGCTGAAATTCACCTTCTTTCTAAGAACTAAAGGTGAAGTTTTTCAGAAAATTTCTGCTTGGCTGAAGCTAATGCAAACACAGTTTCCTGAGTATCCAGTACAGGCTTTTCAAAGTGATCGTGGTGCAGAGTTTGTGTCCAAACAAATGAAACATTTGCTTGAAAAGTTTGGCATAGTTCACAGATTAACAAATCCTTACTCACCTAGTGAAAATGGGGTTGCAGAAAGGTGGATAGGTGTTCTAAAAATTGTAGCTAGAAAAATGTTAAGAGATGCTAATTTATCTGATGGATTGTGGGCTGAAGCTGTGGCAAATGCTACTTTTGTGCTCAATCGTTCTTTTTGCAAAAGTGTCAATAGTATTCCTTATTTATTGTTTTTTGG